GAGCTCAGGACTTGGTGCTTTGAACGCAAAAATTGCTTCCCTGAACAGGCAATCAACTGAATAAAATTAATATGAACATTACACCAGCTCTTTCTGCCATGACAGATTACAATAAACATAAAAATAGGTGGCTGAGTGGAAAAGTACTTTAATCTTTCCATTTGGAAAACCCACCACAGTCCCAAATCTTGCCTTGGGGTAACAGGAAGTTTTATTTTCAAGACCCTTTCCCAGAATATAATTATTGCATTTCTGAAACCTCTATACTATTCAGCCCTATTGGTTCCCAGCTCCCCAGTCCTCTGTGTTAAGACCAGAACAGAAATGTTAGGTTGAGTCTTGAGTTGTGCTGCTAGAACTTGGCAGAGGAAATGTGCATAATCTCCCTGGGGGGTGCCTGGTTTTGTGTAATCATATCTATGCTGGGACACTCAGAAGAGCTGGAAGAAAAACCTCACATATAGCATGATGTCAGGATGCTTAAACTGAAGTGTACAGAGGTTGGTTTAGCTGCTCTCTCTTGGGAGTAAGGTGAACTTCATTTTCTGTGATGTTCTGGAAACATACTACAGTAAATAAAAAGGAACATCTAGGTGGGATTTAATATGGTAAATGGACTTCATGCCTTTCATTGAATATGCTCAGCCTTCACCAAATGCCTCTGAATAAGCACAACTGGAGTATTTACTTCCATGGGCAACAAAGTTGCCTGAAGAGAATTAAAAGAATACAATTAACAATATTTCTAACTGCATAATTTTCAGGAATACAATTACTGTAAAAGGCATCTCTCCGGTCATTTATAAAATGCTACCAAAAAAAAAATATTCTAATGCAGGAGTATGAAAATATGCTAAAATGGAAGAAAATAAAAATATATTTTGGACATTTATACTTATTGCTCCTTTGTTTTTTTTCCCTAAGCATTGCAGGATCACTTCCCTGTGCATGTGATCTCTCACATATAATGTATATTGCAATTCCCCATAAAAAAATCAGACTGCACTAAGAATAGAGGACTAGATACTCATCTGGCATGTGAGACCACTCCAGTAATTTCAGCATTCCTACTCCAATTTGCAACAGCTAAGGATCTGGCACAAAACATCAAGTTAAGTTTCCAATTACCTCAAGCATCAGCATTGATTTCAGTAGTTATATACACATAGTCATAGAGGAGAATTATTTGAAAAATTGCAAATTCTCTATTATTTTTTACTTTTGTGGTCTAAATCAGACCCTTCACGGTTTAATGTAGATTTTTGTGGTTTAATGATATATGTTTCAAGAGTAGACTAGTTACTTGCTGCATCTACCCAATTAAAAAAAGAAAGGTAGCAGTAATTTTTTACACTGCTGAGAATGTCAGCTTATACTGAGTCACATCACAAAAGTAACTAATGTTGCCAAAAAATATAGTGTCTATTAACTTAAACGCATAACTAAAAAGTTATCACCTATACAAAATCAGTCTTCTCTATGTGAATATTTTGTAGGTTGTCTTGGGAGGTCTTTTTTCCAATTTGCTGCTCCAAATTAGTTAAATTGTATAGACCTGCCACAATATGAGACAACCGTAAAGACACAGTATTCAGTCAGCCCAGAGAGACTGAGTTCTGAGACAGCACATAAATTACATCCAGCTGAACTGCCCTCCACAGCCCCACAATATTACTCGCTACACTACTTCTACAGAGGGCAGCTCAATGAAAAATCACTGAAATAGTATTTATTTATTTAATTAATTCTAGGAAAAGGACACAGATCTCCAAAGGAATTTAGGCACAGAAAACCTTCAAACTCCTCTTTTTTGAATCTATGGTAATTGCAGTCTAACTCAAAGTTTAGTGTCTTGTACCTAAGCCTGATAGCTTAAGACCAAATAAGTCTCACTAGTGTATGGACCTCCACAGTTCTGAAGATAATCACTGGTCATTATAATCTTCCCTTGGAGAAGTGGGGAAATTTCAGACATGGAGAAATTTTAAACAAATTGAAACTAATATGCTTAAACTTTAATATTCTTCAGACAACCATTTGCATTTGACATTTTGCTCAAAAGTCTGATAACTAGTCTACATACAATCCTGTGACTGAGACGGCCCAGTCAATCATTTCAACATAGGATATATGATCATCCAAGTAATTTTCACTGTTTAACATTACAGCAAAAAGGGAGCCAGGTATTCATTACATTTCTCAGGTTTAGAGACAAAAAGAAGAAACTTTAACATAGTTTTTGCCAAGGTACTGTATTACAGGCATCCCAAAAGCAATCTTTCTAGCAGCATTACAAACTAAAATGTGGACTAAAAATGTGAGGTTTATTGCCTGTTAAAATAAATTTTATTATTTACTTGATATATAAGCACTCTCCTTATCTGAGCTTTTGCACTGCAAAGCGCATCCAAGTTCCTTTAACCAATTCTAATTTAATGACAGATTTAATAACACAGAAGCGTGGACTTGGCCAAAGAAAATTATTTCATAAAAAAAATCTGATGTTTATACAGTAGCATCTAAAATGTCACCTATCACATAAAAGTAAAGCAGAATTTTTTTAATGCATATTATAAACCCTAGGGCTTTGATAGGTAAAATATCTACTGACTTTAAAAGACCATAAAGATAATTTATTTTTAATAACCATTTTTATTTAATTTTTAAAAGAGCAGCAGTAGAACCATGCCCTGAAATCTCAGGGGTGATTAAAGGGCCATGCTAAAGCTGAAAGGTTTCGAATATCAAACTATACTATTATGTCAGGGTCAGCAAGATCAATTAGCGCTTTCCAATGACAGAAAAAGGTTAAGTTGAACACACATTTGCGCAATATCTAAATCCAAAAAAGAAAAATCCCACATATTAAGTTTACTTATAAACCTTTCGATCAATGACCGAATATCAAAACTCTTCTTCCACTTGCATACCATAAATACCATTTTTTTTACAAAAAATATCAGATAGACCGCAGATACATTAGACAGCAGAAATACTACTGGATTGTCAAGTACAAAGAAAAAGCAAAGACATCTGAGTGTTTCTGCTACCAGACTCAGTTTAGCACTGAACTTCCAAAAAGCTTTAAAAATACTTGATCAACTTGACAGATGTCTGTTAGTCTGATGCCCTTGTGTATGCATTCCTCCTGCAAACCCTCACAGTACAAAAAATGAATGATAGGGAGCAAATAAACCTATTCCTATGTTCAACTAAAAAACAAATAGCAAACTACCATACAATAAACCCACACCCACCCCTCAAATTAAAAATACTAATCTGTAAATTAACTCATCTTAAATCTGGAAAATACAAGTGCAATTAAAAGCCATCCAGAAGCACGCACGCCAGGAAGCAAGGGAACTTACATTTCAGTTCTTAGTATCACAAGAACACTCACTGGAAATACAGGCATGTTAGAAGTTAATTCAACACCTGTTAATACAAATGTTGCCGTCGTAAACATAGCTTGAACAAAGTACCTGGTTATGATATCAAATAAAGCAAACATAAAATCACAATAAAAATGCAGGAGATTAACAAAAACTACGGACAAAAGAACACTATGTTGAAAGCAGTGATTTAGATTGGCAATGCATTATTTTGAGTAAAAGCAAAGCAAGATTACCTTTCTTCAATGATGTATTTCAAAACGTCTCTTTTTATTTAAGCCCACTTCTCTATTTCTTCAAGGAGTGATTTGAAATATTTACTACCGGACAGTACCTAATTTTAGGTTTTAAGTGCTTTAACAGCTCTATGAAATATGATCAGCAGCTGCAATATAGAAGTATGCTGAATAAACTCTCCTTATAAAAAGGCAGACCTGTTTTACCCTGAGTTCATAAACTCCCTACTTTCAAGAAGGAAAAAGATAACAGAGAAAAAAAATAATAGCTGCGTCCTAGAACACTTGACAGAAATTCTAGGAATTTCCTTCTTTCTGTATTAACTTTTGTACTTAAAAGGAAAAAGCAGTTTAAATTTTAAAACTGAAGGATTGCACAGAACATCATGCAATGCCACCAGTACATCAAGGAAACAGACTGGTACCTTTCCCACACCAAATGCCAGTGTTTAACATTAATTCTAGGACTGGAAGGCAAAAGTTGCATAAAGTTTAAAGTGTTAAACTGTAACGCTTGCATCAGATGCTAAAAATATGCCACAGGATACTATCTATAGCTGTATTTCTAGTTACCTTGTTTGAAATATTTTAACTGGAAACTGCAATTAGCTGGAAAACCACCGTTGTCCTACTCATTACATTACTTGTTTAGAATTTATTTATTCCATTGGCATTATCCATACAGAATAAGTTTCTATTGGAAAGTGTTGTGAAGCCATTAATAAATACAAATCCAGCAAGAGTAACTGTCAACCAAATTTATTAGCAGTACAATCATATACACGTAACAATTAATAACAGCATACAAATTATCTGAACAAAGATACATAAAAGATCAGCCAACAAACTCTTCTTTCATTTCTGTTAGATTTGATTGAAGAACATCTGGTAACATAAACACCAGAACTTTCAAAAGAAAGCAAGAAGAGCTGTTTCGGTCATAGCTCAGCTAATGTTAGATGTCAAATATAGAGGAAGAATCACAGGGAAGTCAGCGAAATGTCAGTCTGTATTTCCACTTTACTCATAGTATGATACATACTGCAGATATGCAAGCGTTTGTTATTTAGCAGCATTTTCAGAAATACAAGGAGGAAAAGTCAAACCCACAGCAATTTACGAAAGTTTTCTTTTCAGCATTACGGAAATGAAACAAAGATATAGCTTGAGCTTTAATAGAAAGGGCATGCTTCAAACAACAAACTCCGAGGTCAGACCAAAAAATATATTTACCATACAGGGGAGATGCCTGCTTTGTATAATTCACTCTAAATCTAAACTGTTGATTAGTTTATCTTCGATACAGTTTCTAGTCTACGCATGTGAAACACGTAAAACAAAACCCAGAAAACCGTAAATACTGTTTCCTTACTGTTCTAGCATGACTTCACGCTTAAACTCGAACCGGCCAAGGCGCTCCCTTGTCTCGTACAGCTTGTCTCCCAGGATTTTTCTAAGTACTAGCTATTTCACACCGCCACGCGCGACTTCAGCGTGTCCCTCCGTGTGCTCGGCTGCAATCCCTGCCCGCGGGTCCCGGGCCGGCAGCACCGCGCCCGCTTGGCTCCGAGCGGCGGTTTCATAAATGTAAATGAAACTTTAGATGCCAACTACCGATTGGCAGCAGCGCTGCCGTGGAATCCCGCTCTCCCTTCTCGGAGGAAGGCGCCGCGGGGCTGCTACCCCGCGGGTGGGTGCCGGGCGCAGTCCCGGGGCACCCCTGCGCCCGGGAACGGCGCGGAGCCCCCGCGGCTCGAGGAGAACCGCAGCCGAAGCCGTGTGAAACCCAGCTGACGGTTCTCGACGGGTATCTGATTTTGGAAGTGTCTGTAGTGACAGCAGAAGGAAATTAATGGCTATGAGCCCACTGGGTTTGAACACGGAGAATCCTGTTACCTCCTCGCGGATCAAGTATGCGCGCACACCCGCAAACACACAAGGCTTCCCCACGTGGAAACGCTTTCTGACCAAACACAGGACCCCGCATCGCCGGTGGGAAGGGCAGCGGGACCCCCGCGCCGGGGCTTCCCCGGGGCCCACTCCTCCGGTGCAGCGGGGAACCGGCGGCGGGGGGCGGGGGCGGTGGGAGACCCGAAAAAACGCACCGTTTTGTCCTTTAAAACACACGAAAAACAAGGCCGGGGCGGGGGGAGGGAAGGGCGCTAGGAGACCCATCCTCAGGGAAAGGAACAAACGCTACAGGAAGAGGAAAAAACAACAGGCAGACTGCACTGTCCCGCCTCCCCTCCGGACACTGGGAAAAAGTGGCCTGCCAGAGCCGGCCCGCGGCGCCGCTCGCCGGAGGCACGCACCGCGGAGGCAGCCCTTGCCCCATCGGGCCGCACCCAGAAGGCAGGCGGGCGCAGTGGCACCGCCCGATACGCCTCGCCGGCAGCAGGGGCAGCGCGGGGCCGAGGCGGGCGCAGAAACCGACGGCTCCCTCTGCCGCCGCCGCCTTGTGCCTGCGGCTCCCGGCCAGGCTGTCTCGCCCCGCGCTGCCCCAGACCCTGGCTAGCCAGGAACGGGAGTTTCGGGAAGGGGCTCGCTACCCATCCCTAGCGGTGTTTTCAATGTCGGCTCTGGACGGAGGGGGTCCCCGCCAACGCAGAAATGTTGTTTCCTCCCAGCCTCCGGTCAAGCCGCCGGCCGGCCGGCCTTCGCAGGCCGACCTGCCCCCGCCTCCCCCGGCGGGCCGGCAAGCCCCAGCTGCTCCCGAGGCGCAGCCCAGGCCGCCCCCGTTTCCGGGGCGTTCACGGGGGTGGGCGGAGGGGCAAAGCCGGGGAAAATGCGACGGCGCCGTGACGGCTGCGGCTGTCTTCGGGCTTAGCCCGGCAGCGCCGGTAACAGCTAGCCGAAAAAAGGTGAGGTTAAAAGCGCGGGGATTGTCACCTGGAGAGAGGCAGAAAATCCGGCTGGGCGTGGAAAAATTCACCGCGTTCGCACCGGAGACCAGTCTGGTTTTTTTGCAACTAAACTCGCTTGGGGCCGGGGGCGAAAGCTCGTCTCTACCCCTCCGTTGTTCCTTCCCACCACGTTGTTTTACAGTAACTTTGTTGTTGTTGTCATCGGACCAACACGAAAAGAATGCTAAATAAACGCTAAATACTAGCACATGCACATGCGACAGGGAACCAGTTTCCTCCACCTCCGAGCAGAAGAGGTGGGAGGGAGACGCGGGGACGGCGAAGTCAGAGACACTCACCTTCTCGCTGCCGGGATATGCCGCTACCTTTATTTTAGGGCCGCTCCTTATGTATTTATTCTCGTACCTTCTCCGAGCCGAGGCTCCCCTTTTGCACTGTTCCTCTGGCAAAACCAGAACATCCCCTCTACAAGTTCCCCCCCCCTCCGTTTTCTTCACACACAAATAAAGCGCAACTCGGAGCAAAACGGGAGGGGAAATTGGGGGGGAGGGAGGGGGAGGTGGCGGAGGAGGCTGGTACGGGAGAAGCCAAACACTCCTCGCACTTCAGCGAGTGCAACTAGTTGCCTCTCACGCACAGGAACGTAGAAAGTTTCTCTGGCAAGGGACGGGACTTTCCTAAGAAAAGGTAACCCCCTCTCGCTCTCCCGCCCAGAAAGGCCGTCTCGGGAGCGCGGAGGTTAGGGGCGAGAACCGCGGGAGCCAGCGCAGTCAGGGACGCGCGGGACGCGCGGCTTCGCACTTGTGCCAGGAGCTGCCGCCGGGGCTGCGCCCTGTTCCGGCCCCTACCTCGGCCCGGCAGCCCGGCTGTCCCATTGCCCACCCGCCGCCGCCCCGCTCAGCCCTACTAAGCCCCGCTCAGCACGCCTGCGCTGCCGCTGCCCCCGGCCCCGGCACACCGCGGCGGGCATGGACCGCCGGCTTACCCGGTCACCAGACAACTCCGAAGTGTCCCTCCCGGCCTTCCCGGCCTCGCAGCCCAGGGCCTGGACCTTTCGCCTTTGCTACTCCCTGACATCTGCAGTGAATAGTGATGGGAGCAAAGGAGAGGGCCCTGAAGGGTCACGGGTTGACTAATGCCAGTCCACTCGAGTACAGGTAGTGAAGCCTGCACTTGACTTTTTCCATTTGTTTCTTCTACAAGAAACCAATACTATAAAGCAATCCTGAGTTTTTGGAAGGACTATGAGTGTACGAATGATCAAGTGCTACACAACAGGAGTGGTTGGTGTACCCTTTTACAGGATGCATTTGTCTGCTTGTTCTCAAGCTGGCCAGTGTGGATGGAGGCAAAGTCCTTTCCTGCTCTGAAAGTGAACACTCTTTTCTGCAGAAAATTCAGCAGCTCCATATGGTCCTTTTTGCTACTTAGTGTGGGGAAGCGGAAGAAAACCTATAATTGCTTAGTCACATTTCATGCTCTTACCCTTCACCTTGTTTTATTTCCTAAGTATTATTTCACTGCGTGGATTGAGTGGCTCTTGTCCAACCAGCTGCATCACCCTCTTTTTGTCAAGTTAACTTCACTCTCCAAAGGGTGTAAGTCAAAAATTTAAAAGAGGAGGCAAAGTTAGGCCCTATATTCGGAGAGAGATGTGAGAGAAAACTCTTGGTTTTCAGAAGTACTGAACGTCAGAAGCTTTTGAGGTCAGCAAGTCACCTGAAATGAGGGGGGGAAAAGTATGGATTTGTGAAGATTCTTTCCTACCTGCCTTCTCTTTCCTTACGTTGCATTTGGTGGTACTATTTAAAGCATAACTTAAGCTGTTTGCCTTTGAATTTCATAATTTGCATTCAATGAATTGTAGTAACATGGTCATCTCTTTCCTAAATAATTTCAGGCTTAAGACAAGTAAATCTTCATGAAAACAAGTCTATAAAAACCTTGTATTTGCTGTCTTGGATAACAGCAAGATAACAGACTTATCAGAAAGATAACAGACTCAGAAAACACTTTTGACCTACAAAAATACAACCAGAAAATCTTTTAAACTAAAAAAGCTTCCAAAAGCCAACCTTTTAATTGTCATAGTGTGGGACAAGCCAGAAATACGTAACTGGAAAGGGAGAAAACTCAGATTTGTGGGAGTAATTGTAATTGACAACCCTGCCACAGACTAGGTTGTGACTAATGCCAGCATGCATCTTGCTAACAGGCTCCTTCAGCAGGGAAACATGCTAACAACTCCTTCCTTTCTAGAGGACTTTTGTGAATGGCAGCGCAGTGGTCTAACCTGAGGTACTCAAACACGGTAATAATGAAGGTCTTTTGAAGTCTGGTTTCTTTCCACTTCAATGAAGCAAATTCCTTTAAGGGGAATAGTCCCCTAGTAACATCGGTTGTTTTAATAGACATATCACTTTAAAGCAAGCTCTTAAACATCTGTTGCACTCTCTCTTAAAATGTAAGGTACAGCTGACTTGAAAGATTGCATGTATCTTTGCTTAGTGTAACTTGCTTCAAATTGAGGAGAGATGAGAGGGTTGCACTGTTGTTACATGGTATGGTCCCAAGACAAGTCTCCCAGTAAGGGGCCTGGTCTTGATGTCGTTGGATCACGTTGCTATTTTGGTATTCATTTTGGTGAGAGTGAGCAGGGTCGTACCAAATGTAATGAGTGTTTGGTCTCGGTCAAAAGGGACTGAGGGGAGTCCTACAGAAACGGATCTCCTAACCAAACAATTTTTCATAGTGATTTGTTGTAAATGTGACCTTCACGGGTAGGAATTAAATGATGATTTTGTTAAATCAGTGTCTTTGGGCTGAAGTAAATTCCAGTGAGCTCAGTGGAAGTGATTTCAGAAGGCCAAAATGTAGTACAATACACTGGTTCAAATAAATTGACTCTGTGTGACCATGGAAAAGGTCATGCTAGAAATAGTCCTAGGAGAGCCCAAGGAAGGTCTGTAGGGCCCACTTTTACACCAGAATAGAAGAATAATACCTTATCCATTTAAAGCAACAGGGGAATGTAAGTAGGCAAGATGTAATTATCTAGATTGGTGCTTGGCCAGGCACTCCAAAACTACCAAAACCAGGCACTACCAAAAACTACCAGGGTGTTTAATGTCCACAAGTGCTTGGTATCCTTGGTTTTATCTCTTAAATAAAGACAGCACTTGTGATCATATCGTTTATGCTGGTTCAATACTGAGTCAGCAGAAGAACGTCACCTTGCACAAATACCCATTCACACAGTAACTTGGAATTTCCTTGGAGGTCTTCCATGCAAATATTATAGACCCAACCCTATTTACCTTGGGAAATGTAGTGAGATTACAGCCATAAGTAGTATGGCTCCAGAGAATCATGTTTGCATATGTTGCTAAAAACAATATGGACTTTGAAATATTTATAAGTCATTTTTAAATTAAAGCAATATTTTTTTACATTGTATCTCAGTAACAACAAGGTTGTGTTGTTGTTTAAACGAAGGGATTATACTTGGTTATTCTGAGAAAAACTAATGACAGACAGTCGCTATTTTGGCAATGTATCATGATTATGATTTATTGAAGTGCCTACCATATGCTGCATCCATTTAGGTACCTGTCGCAATTTTGTTTTACAAAAGCAGAGCTTTGAAATATGGCTTCTTATTTTCAGGTTCAAGTATGAAATCCAAAAGCCTGTTAATTAGGCAAAGTGTGTTGATCTATATACTTCAGGTAATTATTGGTGCTTCATGGCTTTATAGTCATAAAAAGAAAGAATGAATGGGGGTTCTTTTGCCTTGGTTATCAGATTTCAGGTTTAAAAAGAAGGTGACACACCCTTTTCAGTAATTCGACATGCAGGGTTCAGCTGTGGGTTCAAAAACAGGTTACAACTGGCTAGTCATTGTGCTCTTGAAATGCCAACTGTGCCTTTAAGTATGTTATATAACTTTTTTTTGGTTTCAGTTTTCAAGTATGGCATCATTTCAGTGTTATTTGGATTTCCATATATTTTTTAATCCAAACAAATCTGACCTCAATCATAAGGTTCCATGGCTCCAAATAGCTGAGCTTTTCTAATATTTTATTTTGAGTGCCTATGTTCAATACTTCATCACATAGATATGTGCTGCAGACTGTGCCAAATACTGTGCCAGGGATGTCCTCAATTATCTTCAGTGCTTACCAGGAGAGGGCTCTGTTCTGCATACCATACACAGAAAAAAGTCCTACTGAAATTAGTGTGGGTTTTGATTCTAAAGCTTGCTTGAAATGAAGCTGGCTAAGTGCAAATGAAAACCTACATTATTTCAGCTGCCTGTGCAGGCGGAATGAGGTGTGCTTGATAATCTTAATTTGTATCCTGCTATTACACCAGGATCTTTTTTTCCTTCCTGGGAGAGACCCAGTCTGCATCCTGCAAGGTACCTTTCTGTCATGTTTCGTGTAGGTTTCATGAGGTTTCATTTAAGTAATCTACAGAGCTGACCCAGAAAATATATTGGGCCATATATTTTTGTTTAATGAACCATGTTTTCCTCGATCATTGTGGGATACAAAAACTATGTCTGCACTGATCAGGGACATAGATCTAGCACACAGATCTGTTAACTTACTTCTTGGTGTGGTTTTGCTCTCATCAGTTAGTGTTCGCATAAAAAATGCCCTGGTGGAGTTCGAGGTGTGGTATGGGTCAGGGACAATTCCTGGTGCTTTGACTAGTCCAGGCATTCATCCTATGCTGGAGAATGAGACAGTTGATAATGAGAATTTTGGCCTTCCAGAAACGCTGCTCTGACAGATGGCCTCAGGTCAGAGAGCAATCTTCAGATAATTTCCTAGTGCAGATGTAGCCTGAAAGTCACTCTTAGTCCTGTTCCAGAGACAACATTAGGTCAGGTTGTTGGGGAGGTAAGAGAACTGTCAGGGCTGGCATTACCTCACCTCCAGAGCCTCTGGCACTGGGGGAGAACTGAGGGTGTGCCCCACACCCATCTATGTTTATTTTGGCTGTAGAATTTTGTTTCAGATTTCATTTCATCATAAATAAAATAAAGAGTAATCCATGGATGATTTATAAAAATGTGAATATTTTAATCTGTTTCATTAAACATTAGTGCTGCTGCTTAATGTAATTCCCTTGAATTTGCTTTTTAATCAGTTTCATGTTAGATGTAGTTTCCTCAGTTTTTGATTACTTCTAGGAATTTCCACCATATTTTAAAACTTCTCTCTGGTTATTTTTTCCATTTACAACATTCTTCAATGGAATAACTCTGATATGGCTACCATGCTATTTTTAAAGATCTATTTAAAGCATCCTCAAAACCTGTAAGACATAAAACCCAGCATTTTGAAAATGGTTTTTGGTTACGTATATAGGTAGCATAAACCAAAGACATCATTTACTGTCATTAATCAGAAATGATCTGTGTAAGTGAGTAGTTGTGTTTGTTATTCAATTATCAGCATGTTGAGGTTTCCAGTGAAACCAATAGTAAACCATTCATCAGTGTCATTGTCAGGAGAATTGGGCTTGTTATGCAATAAACTGAAATACAGATTCACACCAAGAACTTACTACACTGTAACATCATATTGTTGCTGTATTGCATTATAGTATAATAATATGTAGTCAGTAAAGAATTATTTGCCATAAGTTTTTTCACATCTTTTATAGAAGTAAAAATGACATTGCCAAATGACACTACAAATTATTACCATTACCATATATTACCATTACACTAAAAATAACTCTGTTACTTCCGAAGCATAATTGAATTCAGTTCTCCAGTAGTACAAGATTAAATGAATTTCAGGTAATTTCACTCATTTATTTGCAGGTGGTGTGCAATAGAGGAAGGAAACAGAAAAACTATAAAACGAAAAGCAGAGATTAAAAAAAATTATGCCAAAGAGTATTTGCAGAAAACCTGTTTTATTTCAAAGTACAAGTTCCTTTCGCCTGTTGAAATGTTTGGTTCAAAGACTAGACATTTCTGAACATGTACTTTATAGCTTCAGTATAATCTATAAGTATATGTAGATATAAGCTGTCAGTTTATTTGCTGCATTGTCATAATGGTAGTAAGCAGAAAACCAGGCATAGTATTTAGGAATAATCATCCTTCCTTTTCAGAAAGTATTGCAGTGTTGTCTTGTGTTGGGGTACTCCTGACCACACTCTTCAGGTGTTGGTTTTTGTGAGGACCTCATCCTGAATCTCAGAGATATCAATTAGAAATAAATGATTAGGTTATTTTAAGGACATTTAAACAGCAGTTGTAGAGGTCTGTTTTGTACATGACTTAGTTAATCCTGAGGTTACACTCCTTATTAAATCATTCTTTATGCATTTCAATATTAAGATGTCCAGCAAGAGGCTTGTTCCATTCTGATTGTGAAATAATAAGCATACTCTGAAAGAATCACTTAAGTTCATGGCTTCTGCATTCTTCCAATGAGTCTAGTATTTTATGTAATATATTAGTAGTTATTAATGTAGTTATTATATTTATATTTGGTTACTTATTAAAATTTACTCATAATTTATACATTCTGCTTGGAGGTCTTACTGCACTTTGTAAAAGCAGAGGTAGGCATGGTCTCTGCCCCAGGGATCTCACCAGCTAGTCCCATGTAAACCACACAAAAGAAGTAACTAAAAAAATTTCCTCTGGCATGGTAATCCACTGGTTGAAGTCAATGGAAAGAAGCACTTCTATTTTAGTATTAACTGGAACATGTCTTGCTGCATATCTGTAGATTTTGTGGTGACATTATTACTGTAGTTACACTGGACTGCATAAACGACGGAACAGTCTTTCAGCAGAGAAGTAATGGATTGTTTGATGTACTTTCTGAAACCACCAGCTCCACATTATAAGCAAGGTAAGAATATACTAATATGAAACTAAATAAGTTCATATAACCTTGTTTCAGCTAACATAACAACATTGATATGTTAAGAGTTGTGGGAGCTACCTGAGCAGCAGTCAGCCGATTTTCCTACATCAGACAAATGGAGATTATGTGCCTTCTCAGTTTCATTTTTGGGGTAGAAGAACTTGTCAAACAGATTGCTATGTGTGATTGAGTACTGATGCAATGGTACATGCACATCTTTCTCTCCATTAGTTTGCAGTTAGGCAATAGCTGTCCTGGGACAGGAAAAGGAAGCTTTTGCCAACAGTCTCCAAAGCAGTCCCAAGTAGTGTAAAACAGAAGGCAGAAGTTCATCAAGGTAAATATGCTTTCTTGAACCTTTATCCTTCCTCACTCCTCCCATTATATTCTTCTTTTTCTAGTAACAAATATTTTGCATTTTTTCAAACAATTAAAACCAAATGGTGTAGGTTTTGCCAAAGCTCCTAAGTTGTTCTGAGACCTACAAGTGGCTATTTTGGTTCTGGTTTCAGAACATCTTTGCTATTGCAGTAAAAAAGAGAGTAGAGGAGATGGACACAAAAGATGTGGACCACTGATGATGAGAAAGCAACTAAGGTAAATCTCTACTCCTTGCCCTATAGCACACCACTTCATCTTCATCAAAAAATGTACAAAGTACTCTTCCTCCTCCCCTTTTGCATTAGTTGACTACACTTGTGACTGGCTGTGAATGTGAGTGCTTTATTAGCATTTGAATAATCTGTACTGCTGTGCAAATGAGACTGAAGATTGAACTTCATGGACAAATAAAAAAAAAATATTCTGAAAGGTGACAGCCTGTGTTTCATTTTCCCTTCTCCATATCCTGTTCTGGCAAAACTTTTCTCCACTTCTGACTTAATAAAAGCATATACACATTCTGAGATTTTTTTTTAAATACACATTTTTATTATTCACACTTTTGAAGCTCAGAGAGGGACCAATTTAGAGGGCCTAAATTCTGGGGAGAGTTTTGTTCTGGAAGCAATTATTTTTATTGAGAACTATTGATGAGGTGATTACCTAAAAATTCAGTGGCAGGAAATTGAAGAGGAGGCAATTTCTGAGTTTTGAAAGATCATCAATAACAAGTGAAAACAAGTCAGGTTTCTCCATGGATTGTTTACACAAGAGAGAGTAGTTGTTGATAAATGAACTTCAGATTGGGTATTAGAGGTACATAGTGTGCAAAGTGTAATAACAGTTTTACTGCTCAGAGCTTGTGAAGACTGCATAATTTATAGGCAATTTACTCAAGCATTGCACACAATTAGTAAAATCCTTATAGCAGTCCTCCTCATCCTGCATCCTGTTAATAATATTTTTTTAACGTGTATTCATTTGCTTTTTGTTTTTGAAAACAGGCGGCAACTTTTAAAATAATTTCACTCTATAATGGAAGGAGTTTAACATTACCTACGTGGGGATGGGAAATAATAAATAAATATTTTCATAGGTAATATAAACCACAGTTATGATGCTCAGATGTATGGTGTCATGGCTTTGCTCTAACAGTGTAGTAGTTAAGACATGGAATTACCATAGTTGGCAGCAAGAGGAGATGCTGTTTCAGTTGTGTAAATATGCTGTTAGTTGTGAAAAGTCAGAGATTAATTGACTTTGATGAATTGATAAGGAGGAGGGTGACCAGTGCTGGAGCCCTTTCCTCGTTCTACCAGGTTCCAGATGATGTGGCAGAGAGGTTTTCCTGCATTCCTTCCTGGTACCTTCACTTCTGAAGATGAATGGTAATGGCGTCGATGTCAAAGAGCCAGGAGAAGAGCAAGAATGCTCTTGTATCAGATTTGCCTTCACCTATTTGAAAGTTTAAAAACCATTTTGTCATGGTTAAAGACTTTCAGGAGGAAAAGATTAACAGAGGGCAAGTGAAGTAGTAAGATTACTCAGGTATTCAGGAACCTTCTTGCTTGTCTTGTTTGGTATTGTGCATACTGCTGTGAATCAATCATAATGTGAAACAGGATTTCTAGTAGTGAGAAGTACTGCTGAAGTAACTAATACTTTCTTTAAAAAAGTATTTATTACAAAAAGGTGTTTGTTTCAGCAATTATTCTCAAGTGGAACAATCTGGAAAAATAAAGCAATACGGCCCTGACATACCTGCTAGCTCTCTATGGAGGAGGTAGATTTTCTCCATCAGAAAAAAGAAGTTTCTCAGTCTCTATAGGTAGAAATGTGGTGGCATTTTTTCCCTACTGTCACTAATATTTGGGTGAAAATTAGAGTAAGGAAAAGTAATCTGTGTAATTTTAATTCTGAGAAGTACTTGGCAATTAAAATTCTTACAGATTTTAATGATGAAGAAACAGGCCTAAAGAACAAAGTTAAAAGAGATCTTGTGTAGGAGAGAGTTCTTGGTCTGAATTGTACTGAAGTTCTGTAGTAGTTGCAGCCTGTATTATTATCTGCGAGAAATGCCCATGGAAGGAGGAATTACAGTCTTGTAGCAGCTGAATTTGGTGAAATTTATAATGCTGAGATAACAAGGTGTTGACATTGGCCCATATCTTTTCCTCTTGTGATTGCTTTCTGTTTGAAGTGATTCAGTATATATTATATTTGTATTGCAAATATCACACTTGTAGTTTGTACACAAATGCTTGAGAGATTTATTGTCCTTATTATATTTAATTCTCTAAATTATATATGTATTTCAGTTAAATTAGAATTTCATGTCATTTTAGCAAGATTAATAGATAACTTAGTAATACTTCACATTTAATAGTTTCCTTAGGATTAAGGCACCATTCTTTATGCCCTAATTTAGTCTCTTGGGAACTGCCAGTTCATTTTCTGTTGTGTTTCTCTGGATTTTTTTCATTTTAGTTTTGGCATCTTCCACTCACATTGTAAAATAATTCCATTAGTATTGTCAGAATGCAGAAATTGTGTCTTATTAAAAGAGTACTTAACAGCTTTTTGATATTTCCCTGGCAATTATACACCCGTGACGTAAATGTACGTCTTGTAATATGCATAAATATTTCTAGCACTATTTTATAGAAAACAAGGAAATAAAGCATGAATTATTATTTTCAGGAAACTACAAAATCTGAGTTTGGAGAAATCCAGAGCTTTGATTACCCAGGTACCTCATATTATAAGGCTGTAAACAAATCCTCTGTCTACAGAAGAGGCAGGTGGTGAATGTTGTGAGCAAGACTTCTTCCACCTCCACAGGAATCCTAAGCTAGTATTCTCCCTGGTGTTTGGGTAAGTTGTATATACTAAGTATATGAGAAAACACACATGTCAAAAGTCAAGAGAAGAGGACGAAGAAAACCACAAATATGTAAAAAATAAACTTTCAGATATCAACAGTTTTAGTGGCTGTTTCATTCTATATATGTGTTTTTTATAGTTATGCTAAAATTACTGAAAGAGGAGGGTAAGTTTGCGGCATGGGAAGTCTTAATTTAAAAAAACTTTCTATCAGCTGTAGTACTGGCTTCATGACCTTAGGGTGGTTATCATCTGACAGTGTTGTTCTGGAAGCCAGAAACTGATGACTACCCTCGAGTTCCATCTCACATGCCCTGTGGTAGCTGGGGTTGGGGACCCTATGGGAAGAGTACATTGCTGTCACTCAACAGTGGTCTTTCTGGCTAATTAAAGAGGAGCACTGATGAGCTCTGGAAAGAGTCCTGACAGCCCCCATTAAATAGAACAATTTGACATATTACATGAGTCTTGTGGAAAAACTTTTAAAGAAAGAAAAATCAAAGGTGGGCAAGTCAAGTCTGCACAAGGTTAATGGGATGATCCCACAGAGGCAGCTGAAGTGATGCTAAATATGGTGCTGTCTTTCCCTAGCTTCCATATCAAAGCTTTCATATGTACCACAGAGACTTATACAACTGAAATGAACACTGCTGTGGGCTAACAATAGAGACTTCCAGATTTATTCTTGCTTTGGGAAATAAAATATGTGTCAGTCCAGGGTGGGGCTCTGTTATATTGGGTGTTACATGACCATGTAATGAAAATGAAAGAACCTTCCTGCAGAACTTCAGATTTAAGGGTGTGCGAAAGCAAACGTAGTAGAATAATTAAAATACTTCCAAGGGTGAAACAATTCCTCAGGACAGATAAATGGAACAGAAACCATGCCTCCTGTCAAACCCTGTGGTGCATCCTGCACCCTAAATATGAGACATATAATAAGTAGGAATTTTCATTCTCAAATTATTAGGCTATTTTTTTCTAATTTTCAGAGTTAGAGAATAAACTGTGTCTCCCCTCTTCCCAAATGCAGAATTATCTTCGGTTTTGTATTACCTATTGAAGTGTCAGAGACTTCTAGGCTTCCTTCCTGTTACAGTTGCCATTAACTATTAGCCTGAACACATTCGACAAGGCTGCACTTAGTGTAGAAAAAAACCACGGACTGTTTGTGATATTAGCAAAGCAGCTCTGTCAAAATAAATGAACTATCATCATGTTAGGAAGCAAAGTGAATAGAGAGAGTCATGTACGTTTTTGCTACAAGTAGTGACTGTAGCCTTGTAAATATGTATTAACTAATTTAAAAAATCACAAGGATAAAAAAGTAGTAATTTACGTAGATGAACAAGCCAGCACTACATGGCTTGAGCCACATGCTGTATACTTAAATGTTTTCAGCAGAAAGGGAGATCTATCATAGGAACAACCTGTCTCTCTAAACATTGAAGTAAGGGAAACACCACAAATAGTGAAATGCCTTTTCCTTATTCTTCTTGCATACCTTCTTTGATCTACTTACCTTTTTTGAGTTGGAGTGAAGACTAATGGCACAACTCATAAAATGAGAAACTGTCCATATCTAGCAGATAAACTGGATAAAAGTTCATGAAACACAAAACTTAGGGCACTTGGCTTCATTCATCTTGTATTTCTGCTCGAATGATAGAGGAATGAGGGTAGAGGATTGAACAAAAAATGGAAGTAAAAAAATTCTGCCCTGGGTTAATTTATGACTAGGATTTGTTTGTTTGTAGTTTTTCAAAGCACTACTAATTTCCCCAAGAAGCTCAAATGGTCAAGATGGCTTGTATAATAGAATCATAGAATATGCTGAGTTGGAAGGGGCTGATCATGATCATCGAGTCCAACTCCAGGCCCGGTGCAGGACACCCCAAGAATCACACCATGTGCCTGAGAGCATTGTCCAAATGCTTCTTGACTTCAGACAGGCTTGGTGCTGTATAGTCAATAGTGCACAAGAGACTTAGAGAGCTGGTGAGAGCTGGCTCTTCAGCCTGTGACAAGGTACCTATTTTCCTTAGCTGACTGGAAGATTGTCTTCAGCATGATTTAAACTCACGCTTCTGGAATGACAGCAAAATAACTTTTCCACTCTGCTTTTCGAAATAGATGCTTCTACTAAAAATCTGGAGTCTTTAGTTACATAGTCCCTATCTCCCCATTATTGCTGTTACCACGTTATTTTATTTTCTCTGATATGGATGTTTCTGATTATAAATGAATCTTGTAAACCAGTTATCCTAGTTCTTAAAATCTACATTGTGCTGAGAAAGGCTATATTTGGTTCCTATGTGCAAGATGTTTAATATTTTTTATGTCTTCTAATACTTTCATTGAAGCTGAGCTTTTTCCCCATTAAAATTGCTTTAAACAGACTCATTAAAAATCCTTTTAAAACCAACAACACATAATTTTTAATGTGGAAAAACTCTTGAAAACATAGAGTTCTAATTGTTGGTTTAATCTAATTTTTCCTGTGGTAAATTAATAATTTGTAATTTTATGAACACTGAAGGTCCTGAGTGTCTTTCAACCTTCATGAAAGTCTTAATTTTGTTTTTATAAAATATAGAAAAGTTGTTTTACTCCTAGGACTGTGTAGCTTTTTGTTTTCTTTCTCTTTCCATTTACACAACATATTTGTTTATTTTGCCCTTCAACACAAAAAGCTGTTTAATTTCCATCCATGCACTGAAAAGTCTAACTGGAAAAGATTTTATAAATTCTTGCATTTAACTTTCTTTTTTTTTCCTTTTAATTTAAAGTCAGAGATTTTAAAAAAATAGAAACAGTAAACTCACCATGAATTGTTTAAATATGAATGAACCCTATTTTTCTCACATTTTGCTTATATGTGAAAAGTGTACACCAACTTTAAACAACTGAGAACTCAAAAGCGCTGCTTGCTCACTGTCGATAGTGTAAAGACCTGTAAATATGTACAAGTTTGAAGTCCACAAAGAACTGTGAAAGCCTACAGAGCATACACTAGCCAAAGTCTTCTGTTTAACTGCCTCTGGTATTGTTTTTATGTTTATAAATTCACTATTAACTTAATGTTTTGCCACTATTTCTCAGAAAAGCAGATTAAACATCCAAGGCACATGCAGGACAAAGGAGGTGATCCGAGACAGCTAGCACAGCTTCAGTATGGACAAATCATCCCTGTCCATGGGGGTGGGGG